TCCATTTAAAAAAAGTTAATTTAAGTCAGATTTGTTCTCAGGAAATAAACTGTAGATCCCACATAAAGGATGACTTGAGATTGTTTAATTATATGTTTCACTGTTAAATTCAGCTCTACATAATGCACTAAACAACGCCTATTTAAAGAACACCCTCTTTGAAATGTATTTAGCCTGTAATCCCTACAGTGTGCTCCTGTATCAGCATTTCTGTAAAGCACATGAAGCGTTGAATTGAAATTTACTACACTTTTCCAGTTTTGTTCAGTGCCTTGGAAGTAAGGGCCCTAGACAGATCAAAGATGAGGAAGGGTTCACTCTCTATCTGTGTCTGTGTTGTGTTTGGCTGAGCCCATTGTTTTCCTCCGGAAGGCTGCAGGCTGGAATGAAGGTCAGAGTAGCTTTGAACATGGATCTGCACTGTTCCACCCACACACTCCTGCTATCTTGAAGACACTATCGCACACATTCGGACCACATTCTCTTTGACTCGAGGAAGGTATCCAAGACGAAACTCACAGAGAATGGTGTACATGGTGTACTGACGTCAGATATCTTTCCTCCCTAGTTCATGGCACCGCAAAGTTATTATTTCCCCTAACTGCACTGCAGTTAGTCAGCAGTAAGAGGCTGACTTTCACTCCAGGTGGAAATGTTCCAAGGTTTTGTAATGTCGAGTTTTTCCCTTGAGAGCCTTGCTTTTTTTGCTTTTTAGAGTTTCATAAACTGTGAAATTTACTTTGGTTGAGACTCATCATTTCACTTTCAACCTCACAGAAACCTTTTTAAACAAATACTTTCACAAAGCACTTGACCAGAACTGGCATCATGCTTTATTTTGAAGATGAATTGGTACTTTTGCAGCGTCTCAAAATAGCCCTGTATGTTTAACTAGAGTTTTTGTGTATTATTGTGGTCTTTCTATAGCAGCCCAGGTTTAAGTGTCCAACCCATCCCTCCCTCTGTCTTTATGTTTTGACAGAGTACTTGGAGGTTGTGCGGCGTTCGTTGGCCTCAGAGAACGCAGAGTGCCCGTTACTGGTAAAAAAGGCTTCAGATACCCTTCTCGAGCGCCTGAAGGATCCCAAGACCTATGACAACATCACCAAAGACTTCAAGTACAGTGCTTAAACTCTCTGTAACTCATACCTTCTCTGTCCTGTAATTTCCAAAAAACTGCAAAATATGAGCTGACCAAACCTTTGGATGATGTACACCATCATTACAAGACTTCTTTCATATATCAAATAACTCTGTAATTGCACTTTCAAGCAGCTAACCAGCCAACCATGTAAAATAATTGGCCCTTGATTATCTGGTGAAGGATGACAATGGGAATTATGATTATCTTTCCACAATAACAAATGATTCTACAATACATAATAATATGTGATAAGATGGTCATCTGGGATACATCAAGATATCCGTGTAACTGAAGAGGAGAACACAGCCCTAAACTGTCAAAATTATTTTTTAAATATAATAATATACTAAATAATTTGCATTTACTGCATTTTTACTCTATTTTATCCCAGGCTTTGGCACAATTCATTTTCTATCATCAATTTAAAGGGTTTAAATTCCATAAATTATTCCACAAAACATCATAATGATGCTTTGCTTGCTTAGATTCTAGAGCTGCAACTAACATTATATACACAGTTTTATTATCAGTTACTCTGATGATTAGTTTTCTTGACGAATGGCTTTTTCTATAAACTGTTGGAAAATAGTGAAATATTGTAATTTCCCCTTAGGCAGAGGTCTTCAAGTTACTTGCTTTGTCCAATCAACACTCCAGACCCCCAAAATATTCAGTTTACTGTCATATATGACTAAGGACAGCTGCAAATCCTCACATCCTGGCAAAAGCTACGAGTATTGAATTGATTTAGAAATGAATGATATTTCTCCGTGGCATTGCTTCCCTTGACCTGGGATGCATCTTGTCTATTGACAAGTCTGCCATGATTCAGCCATAGTTTACCTACACAGGTGTTTGCAGTGAGCTGTGTGGGCAAACTGTACTGACTGACATCTCTCTCACTCTCCTGATGTTGTGATTGAAGTGACTGATCCACAGCTTAATTAGTTAATAAAGTTTGATAACCTCAGTAAACTCCCAGCAGAGCTCCACCTGTCTTAACTGAGCAGAGGACAGAATCAGACAGAATAAGTGAGCATGCAAAGAAGCAATGGACCTTTTCCTTGACTGATACTGGCCCAGGTGTAATTAATAACATTAACTATGTTTCTGTTACATTTTAAGTGTCCCAGCAAGCCCAAACAGTGAGTCAGCATGCACGTCGTCAGGGTACTGGAGTGGTAAACTAAAATGGAATACAGCCAAGATTAATGTTATTAATTACACCCGTGCTTTTCCTACCATAACATTACAATATGTGCTGTGGCAAGAAGGCCTATAGTGTGTCTTCACTGTCAAATAGCAAAAAATGATCATAGAGCATGACATTTAGGAGTTGTTTGTTTGTCAACAGAAACATGGGAATGATGAAGTAATCCTATCGTTGCAGGGTTCATAAAAGCCATTGCTTTCATAACTGACCTTTCTTAAGCCCCGCCCATTTTGGAACTGCGGTCAACTTCCTCCATTTGAATTCTGAAGATGGTTAAAAGATTAAAGCGACATTTACTCTTACGTAGTGACATCTTGAGTCAGCTAATGTTAGCAAAACGACAGCTAACTTGCTAGCTAATCTTCATTAATCATTAACAAGCGACTTAGCTTCCGCTTTGCTAACATCAGCTATCATATGCAACTAGCTAATGATTGATGTGGATCAGCTAGCTAGTTAGCTAGCATTTTTGTAACATTATCTTATTTAAGATGCAACTATATATATTTCACTTTTATCTTTTAACCACGGACGAGCCTAGCACAGAGCATATCTGAGGAAAGGAAAGGAGAAAGTTGACTTCTCTCAGTGATATTGTAGTTTTGGGACAATCATGAGAGTATGTGCATAATGTATCACCTTTGTTTTGGGAGGACAAGCTTAGCTTAGCATTAAGGCCCAGTCAATTACACTACAAAGTTAACTAAATACACCTACCAGCACCTCTATAATGTACTTATTTACACATAATATCTCATTTGTTTAATCCATAAAAACACAGACCAATTTGTATCCATAGAAATGCAGTGAGTGCCTGTAATCTTTGCTGGTTGCCTGGCAACCTAACAGTGACAACAAGGCTTAAAACCACACGCTGTCATTTTTAAATTTAGGATTTTGTACAGAGCCAGGCTTTTAGGCTAAGCTAAACGAACTAGCCTTAGCTTCATATTAACTATATAGTTATCAAAAGGATATCAATAGTATATCTAACACTCAGAAAGAAAAGGTTTTGAGTTATTCCTTTAATCATTTTCGGTCAGTAAGTGGGGCTACATTTGAAGCAGCACAGTTGGATGTGAGCGGTCATAGCGTCAGTGTAACAACAGGTGGACTCTAGTGATACCTGGAGCTATGTGAGAGGTTCAAAGAGCAGGGAGGGTTGTCTTGGGTCCTGGTTGAGTCGGGTCCTGTTACAGCTTCATGAGCATCCCTCAAGCTTTTTTGGACTGAGCCTGGGACTCACTGGAATGTGGGGCATGCTCCAGAGAGGAATACAATGGGCAGATATCAAAATAAAGCCAGCCAGTGTCACCCATTGTTATAGGATGGATGTGATCCAGTTTATTTACATCTGTTCATTGTAGAATCGATCAGCACTGCATTGGTTGTCGATGGAAAGCGTCTAAACCAAACTAAACATTTTAATCATATTCCACACATTGTGTTTATTAGTGTCATTATCATTGTAGTCAAAGGTTTCAATGAATGGCTTTTTTTATTTTCTCAGCTCCTTGTTTCACTAATCCCCCTCTTCATTTTTCATCCATTGATTTCAGTTTTAAGCATGAAGTTATTCTTAGCATGCTTGTGCTACGTGTGCAGTCATTGTGGCCGTCTCTGGTGTCATTTTATATTTGCGTATTTTAGGTTTGTATAGTGACTGTAAGGTCAGTCAACATGATGTGGTTAGTCTCGCAGAAGTAATACCGCCATGGAGACACACTAAAGCCCTGTCTTTGTGTCAGCTCTGCCGCAACCACACTGGACACCTTTTATTTTAGCTCCTTGCAGATCACGCAGACCGTAGATTCAGACATGTCCTCATGCAGGCACAAAGGTCACACAGGTGGTTTGGAGCCTTGTCCAGCTTCCAAACCACAATGCCTCAGAGAAAACAGTACTTGCGTCCTGATTTCATCATGAAGGAGGCATCGTCACTGCACACACACACACACAACACAACACACCACACCACACACACACACACACACACACACACACACAGATGAAATTACCAGATAAAGACAGACAGTAAAGGAAGCTGTAATTTTACCATAACACATCATAAATGCCTGAACCAAATTTCATTTCAGACAACTCAAAAACACCAAATATGTCAACCTCATGGTGACCAAATATGTCAACCTCATGGTGGCGCAAAAGGAATAGTCAGGGGGTCAGCAATGTCAGTACGATGCATCTTTTGGGAACCAATGAATGTCTGTATAAAATTTCATGGCAGTCCGTCTAATATTTGTTGAGATGTTTTAGTCTGGACCAAACTGGCGGAAGGATATTGCTGTCCCTAGAGCCTATCATGACTAATACATTTTTTTTATTCCATATTTGGAGAGAAAGTTGGTCAACACAGTCCATCCTTATCCCTGGTGGCCGGGTACTTCTCTAAAGATGTGCAACTCTTTTGTCTTGCTGGTTCTCATACACAAGAAGCCATAAACACTTGCAGGTGGCTAATTGTTGTACTTTCAGTGAAATTACCTAGAGGTTTAATTTCCTGACAACACAGGAAAAGAGAAAATATGACAAGATGCACTGTACAAATGCCAAAACTCCAATTTGCCTTTCTGTCTCCCCCACATTCCCTCCCTTTCTCCACCTCTGTTTTCCCGCAATTTTCCCTCCTCCTCCTCCTCCTCTTCTTCATCATTTCCCTCCCTTCCTTGCTTTCTTTTTTCTGTTCCTCCTTCCTCCTCCATCTGTTCTCTCCTCTCCCCCTCCAGCCTGTGTTCCAAACTGCAAATCCAGACAGAAATGGACTCTGCCTACTTCCTGGAAACTCTGGCTGGCAACTTTATGGATGTGGTCCAGTACAATGAAGACAACAGGGGCTTTGAGGTGAGGGGTAACAGACACGTGCCAAACAACATCGTAAAACATCATAAAACATGGATTTTGGGAGCAGATGCTGATCACTTCAGGCCAACAGTTGCTGTCCTTAAATCAGGTTGTTTTCATGCCAAAATAAGTATTCATTACTCATAAAGAGTATATAGACTGTCATAAGATATTAAAACTCTTTACTGCATATCACACTAATGATGGTTATTAGCTGCATAAAGGAATAGTTCAACATTTTAGGAGCTATGCCCTTTCAGTGTCTTGCCCAAGAATAGGTCGATACCACTCTCATATCTCCGCACTACTTATGACACTACAGCCAGTGTCTGGTTAGCTTAGCTTAGTATAAAGACTGGAAGCAAAATCCGCCTACCAGCACTGAAGACGAGCTAGCTGTTTCCAGTCTGTTCTTTTAAAGGATAATTTCAGCCATATTTTCAATGTAAAACCTTTTTTCCTAATCACGCTGATTAATTCTAGCTACATTTTCATCAGTTGCATTATTTTAGATCGACTTGCATAGCTCGCCAGTACAGTCCTAGCACTGAAAAATCAATCTCTATAATCCCCCAAGCATGTCTTTACAATTTAATATTTATATACTGACATGAAAAGAGAAATATGAAGGGAAAACTTCCAGGTTGAAAATAGCAGGAGCTGAGCTTTGAGGCAGGTTGAAATTTTTATAGACTGACCTGAGAAATGATTCGAGTATCTCCTTAGGGGTGACAGACAACTGATATAGAAACACCATATCAGATATGACATAATTTATGCATGGTGAACTGAGATAGAAGGAAGGGAGAGTTTGTGTAGAGCCTTTGTAGGTCAGGAGTTGACCTAATATCCAGTCTTGGTTGAGTGGAAGGCAGTTATGAGGTGTAGGAGGGTTACAGACAGGCCAAGCAGTATACTGAAACACAATAAACCCTGCATTGTTTAACAGCGAGAGGCCCAGAGATGCTGCCTTTTTAAAAAAAAAAAAAAAGGCTCCTGGGGCTGCTTGCTTGCTTACTTGGTCTGTATCTCTATATGAGAAGTGGAGCCTCTCACCTACATACATTATATTTGGATTGTGACTCAGCAAAGAGGGGGGCCAACTGAGATAAGATAACAAAGGTGGGAAGTAGCATTTGACTTATTAACATTGCCCAAAGTATCTGAAACACAATACGAACCCACTCTGAAAACACCCTGACTCAGTAATTCCTTTTGTAGTGGTAATTTAAACAACCAAAAATCTTTACTCTCTGATACAACACAAGGGTAGGGTGTGTCTGTATAACCTTTTGTATTTACTCTGCACACAAACAACTGTGTGAGCTCCTAATCTGATCAGTTTTGTTGTGAAGATTTCAGATGACGCTTCTTTTCAGTTTATTTACCAGCAACCCTGGCATTAGCTGCCCCAAAGCTGAGGTGGACAGATTTGTGTACTGGTGTGATGATCATCATTTCCACATCAGTGTCTGTAAAACTGAGGTCTCAGTTCAGTTTGCAAGCGGCCATGACATCAGACACTACAAATATTAAGGGGTACACAAAGACAGCAATGTTGCAAATGTCTGTGCATGCGTAGATTCTGGCGGGGGGGAATTTCAGGGGACACGCCCCCCTTAATTTAGGCAGAGGACTTCTATTT